CCTAGCGACTGAATCAGCCAGACGGTGGTGGCAGGCCTACTCTCGGGCATCAGGAGAACGATAAAACGTCGAACTTCTTCTCAGCTTGGAAGACTCTGCTGGAGGATAAACCTCCGCTGCACTTCGCAGTTCGACACCCAGAGTCACCCTCGCGCCACGATGAGACGGCAGACCATCACGGGGGATTCACACCTTACTACTTTTAAATTTCCAATTCATTCACGAATATTAGCTCTGCTACATCAGATACTATATAATTATTAGATATTTGATGATTTCGTAAAATTTCAAACGAACGATATTATTCCGCACTCGAAAAATACGGATTCAAAAATAAACCGAAAATAAATGTCAATAGTAAGAATAGTCGACTGATTGCGTTTTTAAAAATAATCAACTATTCGAATATGACTGATGTATTATTTGAGTACTTTCTCAATTTGTTTTCCACAGCATGCTGATGTTCACATGTAGCTGCGAGGATATTTTGATAGAATTGATAAGCTTTTTTTACCAGCATAAAAGGATTGGATTTTGCACTAGATATTCACTTAGTGCGTTTATTAGATATGATGTAACTTTTTAAACGTTACTACCTTTTGCAGAGGAGGCAGTGTAGGATGAAAATAGTGTTGGACAGGTCTACGTTGAGCAAACTGGCATTCGCCATGAGATGAGTTACCACCTCAGCAAGTTGTAAAAGTGCGAGCTATTTGAGGATAAAGCACTGGTTTCCATTTACTATAAGGCTCTCAAAAAATCTTCACTGTTCATAAGGACTATTTTTGGAATTTCTTTAAAGCGAGATGATATGGTTTGAAGAAGTGGAGAGAGCTTGAGATTTTGTGAATTTTCCACATACAAACGGGTCGCCCAGCATTTCGTTTACACAGTTACCGTAACTTTGGCGTAGTACCTTATAACTCACTTAGCATGTTGATCCCAGCTCTTTGAATAACTCAAAAGGTTGGTTTCGGCATTTAAATGCTTTTCTTGGGCCTATGCCACTAATTCAAGCAGGTGCTAAAGCCATGTTCAACCTTGCACTGTAATCCTTCGATAATGAAAAAAAAAGGTGCAAGATCTTTTCAATGAGTGAGTTAGGAAGTTAGCACCTTAAAATGAATTATCAGGGATCAATTAGGAATTAAGTTAGTGGAAGCTAATAAATTGCGACACATTTTTTGAGACACTCCCATGTGCGCAATCTTCACGTACTAAACACAAATCAGATATCTGTTTGAGGTCTCCGAAGCTTATGAGAACGATTTGCTGTTTGCAAAGCCAATAGACTACAATCCTCTTTTCGCTAAAACCATGCAAATGCGAAGAGGAGAATTAATGTAGCGTTATTTTAACACGTTCACTTCCTTTAAACAAAGCGATTTGGGACCCAATGAGGAAAGGAGGAACTGTTTTAAATCTGTCAAAAGAAGCCTAAAAAGTGTCGGATAAAAGGAAAGCCAATAGAAGAAACAAAAAAGTCTAGTGATAATAATTCCTCTTAGGTCTTTTGTGAGCTAATGTAGGCCAAGAAACGGCACGGTGATTTTTCTATATGTTTTAAGGGTTTGATACACGTCTCTTCTTCTTGTAAGCTTTTTTATCCCACGTTTGGTGGCTGCACATCGCCTTTCCGTTGAAAAAACGGCAAGATGGATATTGCAAATGCACCCCTATGCTGTAAGTTTTGGAGAGCTTGGTCGACAGCCTCCTTTCTGTACTGTTAATGAATTTTACCGGAGAAGGTTGTGAGATGCATTAGGAAAGGCAGAAGCAACGACTTCAAAATCCCTTACTTGTTCACTTTTGCTTTTCTCCCCGAAAAAAAAATCCAGCTTGCCCAAATTTTTGTCGCATTTAGGGCCAATTTTGCTGCCAAAGCGCAGATTTTTGGCAAGTTGAGTACTTCTCACAAAAGCTGACTTAGTAGAACCATAGAG